TAGTTGGAGGTGTTTACACTAGAGGAGTGAGAATGAGGACTGGTGAGACAGGGCATGAGGTGTTAGTGTGACAGCAGGTTTGGTCATGGTTCTGCTTCCTATGAAGATATTTTTCATGTGTTGATATAAACTCATTGCTGCTCAGTACAGATTATCTCCGTGCAGCGTAAGGGAGGGAATGAGAGGTGGCATAGCATAGTCACCGAACATCTGACATTCCACAGTAGATGTTATTCAGCTCCCAGAACTGAGCCAGGACTTTCAGTTTGGTAAATCATAGGACTTTCAGGTGATGCTGACGTGATAGGTGACTGCAGCATGGAGTTATGCAAGTGGGTTGTCAATAAATGGAGAAGGATTAGGGAATTAGCTGATACAGAGTTTAGAGTCCAGGATTTTGCAGCATGCAAGGGCGAAGATGACCCACTAATGCTAAGTTAAAGCAATTTGAATTGTGTCCTCTGGACACAATGTCTGAGATCCCTCAAGTACCGAGTGTCCACTTCTGACGTGCACAGTTACATCAAATCTTTGCTGACTTCATTGGGAACTGAGGGCAACAAACTGCTCTCCAGTTTGAGCCCTTCTTAAGCACCACAGTTTCTTGGACTGTTGCACCTTTGTCAAGGCTTTTAAAAACATAATAATGTGTTCGTGAAAACATACACAGTGAAATTACTTTGTTTCTTTTATTTTTGTTATAGTTTGATTCTTTTTCAAGGGAGAAGTGTTACACTCACTGAGCCTGATTTTTGAATTTGCTTATGCCAATGCAAATAGGACAAGTGATGCCTGTGGAAGTAATTATTTTGCTTTATGAGTAAGCAAATGTCATAATTGCAATCCTTATTTTTTATAAAATCTATTGGGCGTGAAATAAAGATGGAGTTGCTTCCATTTTTTTCTTCCTATAGCATTTGGAATAAATTAAATCATATACGTATTTTAAGCTTATGTTCCTAATTACTTTAGATACTCACTCTTCTTTTTGCAGCACAAATTTCAATATAACCAGGACCATACACACAAACCTGGAAACCTAATCTTCCTGTATAGTCAAAGGTACCTTTATTGGATAGCTCAGAGCACTTATTTTAGTTAGTAGTTAAGTTCCTTACTTCTGCATCCAAATCACTTTCTGAACTTCTTGTCTGTAAAAGGGAAATAAGAGCACTGTCCAATTTCCCTGACAGACAGGGAGTTAAGTACTTTAAAGAGCAATGGTGATACAGGTAACAAAACCAAATAGATAATCTTTGTTTTTTCAACTTCTGTTTGTATAACAGGTGTTGAGACTAAGAATTTTGTTGTATCATTTTATATTTTGTATCTTAGTGACCTTATGGATTTTAGGCTTCAACAGAAAAGAAAAAAATACATATTTTATATTTACATAATTTCATTTGTACTGGCACCTAGTGGGCTGTGGCCTATATTAGATACTGTATTAATACAGTAATACAGTATAATTAATACTTCTTTACATTGAGGGTGGTGAGGTACTGGAACAGATTGCCCAGAGAAGTTGTGGATGCCCCATCCCTGGAAGTGTTCAAGGCCAGGTTGGATGAGGCTTTGGGCAACCTGGTGTAGTGGAGGATTTCCCTGCCCATGGCAGGGGGGTTGGAACTAGATGATCTTTGAGGTCCCTTCCAACCCTAACCATTCTATGATTCTATAATACACAACACAACCAATGTTTGCCCTGAAGAGTTGATATTCCAATGTATAAACCAGGGAAAATCAAGTGAATGCAGGGAACAGATGGAGAATTACAAATTGGTAGTGAGATTAATATGACCTAAATAATAAAAAAACCACCTAAATATGTTTTGCTTTTTAAAGTAATTGTCTCCATTTTTAAACAACATTTTTCAATCAATCATCACAAATACAGGAATGTTACAATTTAATATCTCAAAATAATTCAAATGTTGCCATTCATTTCAGGAAGAGCAGGATTTTACTTACGTTTTAAGCAAAATGCATTCAGATCTGTATATGTTCTTTTCAAAACTGAACTTTGATTGGAATACAATGTTTTCTTTGACATCTTAGTATAAATTAGGTTGTGCATATATCTAATTTTTTTAATACATGTATATTTTTAAAAGATGTCCTGTATGTTAGTAGGTGAAATATTCACCCTGGCAGGGTTTGTATTTGAAAGGAGATTAGGTGTATGTTCCTGTACTCAAACAATTTAAGAGAGTTGTCAGTTAAAACACACGGTCTGATGTTTCTAAAATAGATATTTTGAAAAGGTTATTTTTATTTACCTCAGAAGCAGACAAACATGTAACATATTAATCCAGAAGATCCAAGATTTTCCAGAATGCTTCATAATTTGTATGTTGTTTCTATGGCTAAGTCCAGAAAATTTCTGAACAAGGTAGGAGGGGATGAGTATGGAGGAGATTATTTTTTTATCTTTCCTCTAACTAGACAGATATTTTTGTCAAAAAAACAAGAGTTGTTAGTGGTGAACTAAATGAACTTTTTGTGATGTCAGGTAAGAAAAGTAGTAGTTTCTTACTGGGAACATCTTTCTTTTTGCATACAGAACATTTCCTTCTTAATTCTGTGGCTGAAATAATGATTATTTTATTTTACTACACCAATTCTTTAGAGTAATCCTAGCCATATTATAGTAACGTGGATTTTCATATGTTGCATATGTATCTATGATATCTCATGTGCTACAATGCTGCCCTAAAATTAAATATTCTGGTTATTTCTGCAATCACATATGTGGTCATGAGAGCGTATATTCATACCTTCTTATGTTCTTCTCTTAAACTTACACAAGTGCTTATGCCTAACTTAGTCAGAGCAGTGCACAGTGGTTATGAAACCAAATGGGATCTGACAAATCACAGTTGTCAAAATCTCCTAAAAATCTCCTAAAGCTGTTAGTGTGTCCTAAGTCAGTGGAGTCACGTAAATACTTTCTATAGTATGTGGCACAAAACAATAATCATTAAATCTGTGCTATGCAATCTGAGTGATTATAGTTTGATAGAACTTCACTTTTTCTGAATATTAACTAAAAAAAAAGAAAACAAAAACAACAAACCAAACCAAACAAACAAATAATAAAAAAAACACTTAAATATTTATATTTAACAAAAATCTGAACATTCCTCATAATAGCAATTAGTTAATACATTTTGTATCTAGATCCCAAATACAAATCAAATCTAAGAATGGTTTCCTTCTTTTTTCTGAGAGGAAAACTAAAAAATGGCACCTCGTAATCATCACATAGTTTGAACTACATTTTAAAATGACTTTGAGGTGTCCTGACTTAAAAATTAGTGTGTTTATAAATATATATAAAAAACATTTCAATATATGTATATACACATTTCCAGTATATGTATATACACATATTGAGGTGTTCATGTTTTTATAGGATTATTTAGTATGTGGATGGGCTAAATGTTTTTTCAATACCCTACTTTTATGTTACCTTTAGAATAAGTCAGCATCTAATAAGCTTTTATTTATTCCATAGAACTTCTTTTGTTTTGATGTCGGTGAACTTGATATTCTAAAGAAGTTGAAAATTCTATATATCTTGTAAAACAATTCAGTGCAAAATACAATATGGTATGTTACAATTTTTAATGTACATATTGTATAAGTGGAAAATATAAATGTTTCTTAACTTTATAGTATGCTGGATTTTCGAAGATTTTATTTTGATACTATCATAATATCTGGAAATACCTAAAATGGGTAAGACCAGAAAATGCTTATTTGTAGGGCATGCATTTTTATTCATAATTAGCTTGACTTTATAATAAACTTGACTTTATAATGAGGCAGTAACATGAGAATATTGCTAATAGAATTTTAATTGTATTTTGTATTGACCTGTTGCTGATTGACTGTATTGACTGAGATTTTAGATCGCATTTTGACGAAAGGATTGACAAATTGATAAGTGTTACCCCTACATATATGCTCCACAAGACCTGGATGAATAGGTTTCAGTAGGCTACTAAAAATGTATTTTTGTGAGATAAAACCTCCTACTAATTCAATATCATGATACGGATCATACATTAAAACTTTGAGACATGTTTTTTAGAAATATATTGAAAACAAAAGTAATGAAAGATACATATAAATATTGCGTTTTTATCTTGGATGTCATTCGTCCTTCATAGCAATAAGTCAATAAGTAATAAATTTGTTGACATTAATAAGGTTGTATCAGTTGGAAACTTGTTTAAACAGGAGGAAAGATAGGATTTATAGGCAAATATCCTTCGTTTGAAGACATTTTGTTGAACTTTTTAAGATGTACAAATGCCAAATTTTTTTTCAAAATATTCAGCCTTTAGATATTCTCTCCTGCTGCACTTCATTTCCACAGACTGATTAATAATACACTGTAGCACATAATTAATTTCTTTGTACTGATGTGGATGACAGGTTGAACAATCAAGATCATGTCCTGCTCAAGACCAACTATTTTATCTGTCCATGCTATACCATACTTGCTTTAGCCAAGCAGGTTTTTTTAATTGTTGTTACTAGAGATGTTTTAAGGGAAGGTAAAGAATTTCAGACATGTTTTGTCAAAGAAGTTGGTTTGCTACATTAGCCTGGAAAGAGAGGAATCGGATGAAAACACTCACTTTGACACAATCTAAGACGATCTTTCCATATGAGCATAATACCTGCATTTGCTTAATCTTTTGGTCTGAAATGTACTATTCTGAAAACAGTATATTTTGTGGGAGAATGATAAATATGAGTTTTCCTGTTATTTTCTCTTTAATTCTTTGTGTTGTACATTTGAAACAGATGCAGAGCATTAAAAAGTGTGATGAGCTTATTTCTTTTTAATATTTTTTTTAACCTTTTCTTTTAAAAACATGGTAACTAACGTGCTTCATTCTTTTCCTTCCTTTTATAGGGTAGCAAAATATTATAGTGTTTATGCACAAAGCAGAAGTATTATTTATATATATTTTTTTTAATTACAGGTAAAGATTATAGTTCCCAACAGCACAGCAGGTCTGATAATAGGGAAGGGAGGTGCTACAGTGAAGGCTATAATGGAGCAGTCAGGGGCTTGGGTGCAGCTTTCCCAGAAACCTGATGGGATCAACTTGCAAGAGAGGGTTGTCACTGTGAGTGGAGAACCTGAACAAAACCGAAAAGCTGTTGAACTTATCATCCAGAAGATACAAGAGGATCCACAGAGTGGCAGCTGTCTCAATATCAGTTATGCCAATGTCACAGGTCCAGTGGCCAATTCCAATCCAACCGGATCTCCTTATGCAAACACTGCTGAAGTGTTACCAACTGCTGCAGCTGCTGCAGGGCTATTAGGACACGCTAACCTTGCTGGAGTGGCAGCCTTTCCAGCAGTTTTATCTGGCTTTACAGGCAACGACCTGGTGGCCATCACCTCTGCACTTAATACATTAGCCAGCTATGGATATAATCTCAATACATTAGGTTTAGGCCTAAGTCAGGCAGCAGCTACAGGGGCTTTGGCTGCAGCAGCTGCCAGTGCCAAACCAGCAGCAGCAGCAGACC